ATCAAAAGAACAGAAGAAGAACGAATCCACATAACGAAAGGAAAAATCCTATATGATCATATATGTGAAGAAAAGGAGAAAATTCCATATGATCATATATGAAGGAAAAGAGGAAAATACCATATGAAGAAAAGAAAGAAAATCATATATGTGAAAGAAAGAAAAGCGAACGAATTTTCTATATGTTCGCTCACACCTCCCCTCCCCGATCAGATGTGGTATACCACATCGACAAGAGAGAACAACCATATACATATACAAGAGAGAGAAGAAAGAGGAAAAAAAAAATATATATATGAAACATTTACGTAAGAGAGGGGTTAATTATCATCGCGTAGATGTTTCGTTGCTGGTGTTGATTATATGTAATGTGTATCAGTATATCCTTTTTGGAGAGTTGCCACCATCTCGATATACTTCAGAAAAAAATTGTTATAGTTAAATATGCTTGGAGTTTGATAGAAACAAAGATTGGTTTCAATTCATTCGTCCTCTACAAGAATAGGTGCTTTGTAAGAAGTGGTCGTACTTCATTTTGAAAAGTTCATATTATTAATCTAGTTTCAACTGAATAATTACTGCACTCTTTGCAATATATGAGTTTTTAAAAAGAAAGCAGTATTCCTCTCATCCTTTACTCTCAAAGCTTGTCAGACTTTACAGCTGTTCAGATTTTTTACTCGTTCGAACGACCTTTTAAAAAACGTTTTCTCCCGCTTGAAGCCATCCATACAAAACTTTTCAAAAATTTCATTAAATATTAAATTAGCGAGCTATTCAAAAATGTTTCTTTTTACAAGTCCCATGTCCTGCAGAAGGTTTATATCTGCACAAGATCTGTCAAGTTTCTTGATCTCAAGGAACGTTCAACAATTCTTGTCAAGATCTTATCAAGTTTTTTTTGAGGAATTTGCCCGCAAAAATCTTAATCAAGATCTTGACAAGATTTGAAAACTTTTCTGTAATTAACAAAATCTTTGCGAACAAAGAAAGTTAGCAATCATTTTGATTACGACATGACTCAGAGGTTCGTCGAAAATGTAAATATGCCAACTTTGCATTTATTTATAGTTATTGTAGCACTGCATTGTAGAGGACTTCTGCTAGAATTCTGTTGATCGAGAGAGTAGACAAATAAATGTGTTATTCTTTCAATCACCATTTTGTTTGACATTGTTATTGCATATATAATAATAAATATTTCCATTACAGAACATTGAAAATTTTGAAAGTGAAATTCAAACATTGTGTTTGAATGTATAGTTGTTCGTTCACTTTCAACAGCTCCGGTACTGTATGCATAGTACCGTAAAGCTTACACTGTAGTGATACAGTAGACAAAATAAAAATAAAAAGTAGAAAATAAAGTTCAAGATTTTCTTTCAAATTCCCAAACCTGTTAATGAAGATTCTGATTATTCGTATTAAATTAATCATTTCAGAATTCTTGAAATATCTTGACAAGATCTACTCAAGATTTATCACGACAGATTTTGATACAAAACTTGTGAAAAATCTGTAACATTGCCTTCCATTCAGAATCTTGACAGATTTCGATAAATCTGCACAAGTTCTTGAAAGATCTGTGGCGAAAGTTGAGAAATCTTTAAAGATTTATCAAGATCTGCACTCAGGATTTTTCTCCTGGGAGTGTGGTTTTAAAGACACTAGCATTAGTCGACAATTTTCGATAATAAACGCACTTCAAAAATGGATCTGCAGAAGCCATGGCTTTCTAAAAACACTAGTTAGCGAGATTCTAAAAGTTATTTTAATAGACCATGAGAAAGAACATAGTTTCAAACCCCCTTAGATCCAGATTTTAGCAGAATAATCAGCAACCGTCGAAAATAGTCTTTAAAAATTTTCTCACGAATATATATCTGTTGCAAAAGAGTTTGAAACAATGTTTATATCTTTTGTCTTAGAGAAAAAACAACTCTATTTCTTGATGGAGATATAAGCGATAGTATTTTGTGTAATAAATACCCAGGAATGTGCAGAATTTCATGCTCTACCTTTCTAGCCTATTGATGAGACATAGGGGGCTGGCAGATTTACGGTCTTATCCGGCGGGGTCCTTTGCCGAAGTGTTACAAAACTGCGGTTAGAAAATGATGATTTGGGGCAAAATCCCTAAAAGAAAAAAACCTCCCGCGATCGCTTGAACCTATGAAGAGCCTTAAATATAGCCAATTGATAGAGCTTTTCGAAAACTAAAAAATGGCCATTTTCTCTTTTTTCATATCGCAAAATATAAGTGACTGACATTGAAAAACCTGTTTTTTCGGTTTGAAAGTAATCGATATTAAAGCTTTCTCGTATTTCCTTTATATATTTTTATTCTTATAGTATATAAGAAAATGTTCAATATGTTTTGTGTAGAGAACTGAATGAGACTTCTCTTAAAAAAGATTGAGACCTGGCGATCAACCTTGACTCAGATATTGAGAAAATATTGAATGAGACAGGACTTCTGGACCACCCTTTATATAATTTTTAATACTTATTTTTTATTAGAGCATACAGATTCTGTAATGCAAAGTCCATTGGACTATTTACTCAATCTAATGGACTCGGACTGGACTGGACTGGACTCAAAAATTTGAGTCCATACGGAGCTCTGGTCTCTACTGCTACAAACACAAAAGAATGAAAAAAGCAAAGCCAATATACGCGCAAAAAGTACTTAAAAATTAAGAACTAAAGATTATGCTAAGAAGATGAACGAATGTGTAGCATAATTGTTAAAATAGAACTTCTGATAATCTGATAAACTCAATATAAACTATATAGTCAAAACACAATGTTATTTTTCAGACGAAAAAAGATAAAATAACATTTGTGTAATTAGTCATGAAAACCGGGAAAAAGCCCTTCACTGGAATCCAAAAATGACCGTTATATACTCAATAGATAAGTATGACATACAATATAATTATAATACATCTACACAGTGCTCGGAACACCTATAATTATAACAAAATCAATTACATTACTTAATTAACCTAAAGAGTTAACATTATATTAATGAATAATTATAAACCATAGCTCACTGAGCAGAAAAAAAAAATCAACAACGGAACAGCTTTCGGGAGACTAAACGACTCTTCTTTTTTCCAGTGGTGTTTAATTTTTATCATTCAGATTGGTTAAAGCAGATGTCGACATAAATAGTATTCAGCAGATAAAGTAGGCTACTACTGAACAGTATTCATTGAATACTGTTCACTAGTAGCTTACTTTATGCGCTCTCGACCTTTTTCTTATCTGAATTTATTCGTGTAAAAAGTGTGCTGAAGAACTTTAGAGATCACACCACAGATATTTCAACAATCCACAAATGGATCTCCTAAGATCATCATCTATAAGTGCAGTTCGTCGACGATTAATTTCACCGTCAAACGCTTTAGCTTGATCACTACTTATAATGTGCGGAGTCAAACGCGAAACTTCGTCGATTACGGTATGTTACTGGTGGACTTCTCATATTATTGTAAATAACGACTGTATTAAGTGATGACAGCTGATTATTGTTCGATATATCAGTGATTCCACTTTTTATTTGATCACTTTCACTGACTAAATTAATATTTTGATTTCTGAACTGATCTCGCTCTGCCCGAGTACGTTCAAGTTGTGCCTTCACGGCGCCTTTTTTTTGCACGTAGAAAATTAAGGTACTAACTATACGTATTTTTCAATGCCAAAATCGCGTCGAAACCCGTGTTCGCTGAAAAACTTCTAAATCTCGGTTTTCTTATACGAAATCGCGTTTTTTTCAGAAAACCGTGGTTAAACAAGTCACGCAGTTGTACGCGCTTTGAATTCATAATCGGGATTTTATTAGTAAGAATCTCATTTTTGTTATCGAACTGTCATCAGCTGCGTGCATTATCTAACCGCGGTTTCCTAATAAAGCGCGTTTCGGGATAAAAAAACCGAGATTTATAAGTTTTCTTCAGCGAATATCACGGGTTTAGACGCGTTTTCGGAATCTGCTAAGGAGTGTATAACAACTCACCTGCCGAATCAACGACGACTAAAAAATGGTGTGGACAACACCTCCTGGGGTTGCAATAACTCGCGGGTTGAATAGACTTTAGTGAAGTTATGAAACTTTGAAAATTACCAAAAGTCGATTTTCCCAGTTATTTTGAAATTTAATCGAGCTCATTTGCATCTTTTCTGAGTGTAAATTAATTTCTGAGCTCAAAACTCTCATTTATATAAATAAAATATAATTTTATTACAACCGAGCTCATATCTCGCATTTTAAAGTCAATTAAACACATCGAGCTCAAATATCTCTTTTTTCCGACCTCATTTGTTATTTTATCCAACTTTTTGTATTGCAATTTAATTAATTGTTTGTATCCACTGATGTAGATTGAACTGGTTAATCGAAACGTTTGGAAATAAACACATCAGTACAGCTTATTAAGAACGAAAAGTATTTAACTACACTGACTAACTTGTATTTGACGAAACACAATGGCGCTGTAATCGGTGGATAATGCTTACGAAAGTTTTTAATAAACATCTTAAAAAGATTGCGAATCGGCTTTTGAATCTAGTTTTTCAATATCGACACGCTGTTAGCCATCAAGCAACGTGATTTGCATGCGTTATATATTTAGAAAATCAACTGTCCGTTCTATTTCGTTTTACTTTAATAAACAAAAGTTTTTAATTCATCTTTTATGAGATTGCAGACAGTTTCTGTTGGAAGTTTTAAAATAAGAACCAGTTACTGCTCATTCAAGAATTATGCTTAATGCAGGTAATTAGTGAATATTAGCTCAAAAACAGGAAGAAAAAGATTTGATTTTTTGAAAATATTAAGTATATTCAAAGAGAATACTTCACATTATTGAACAACCAGCCTTCCTTATAGCTTCTTCTGGTCTCATAAGATCAAATCCTTGAATCTCTGATAAATAATTATGAATATCAGCGTTTGTTTCTGCTGATATTTTAACAATATCCATAGCAACTTGCTAAAATTCTGTTGGCACTCTATAGTTTAAATGTTGTTCAATTTTTTGTACGAATCGTTTACAATTCATATTATCTGAAACTGCAAATTCAGATGGTGTCATACCAGTTGTCCATGGTTTCCATATAAATTTTTTTCCAACAACATCATCGACAATATCCTTTGCGTTCATCAATGATGTCGCATTAGGTTGAAATTTTGATAATTCCACGTTACCACCTGAAAACATTGAACTCAATTTTTGTTTAATTTCATCAATTGATTGATCAAACTCGAGTATGATGTATGCTTTTCCATTTCTATCCGGCATTGCATGAGCAAATAATATGGGAAAAGTTAAATTACTATTATCTTCACGACTGATTATTTTCCATTCATTCTTGCATACTAAACCAAAATGAATAAAATTTTTATTCAAATTATAAGCAAATATGGCACCAATTTCACTTGATTTAGTAACTCAAATTATTTTTGTTTTTCTATCTACCATAACTGATATCGAATAATCATTTATTGGCGTAACACCAGACGCCTGTCTGACTTTAAAACACAACTGACGCGGCTGCTGATTCCCCATAAATCGCAAATGTCGAAATTGGAAAAATAAAAATTTGCCTAAAAACAGAATACATGTGAGAGTATTGGAACCTGGTACAAATACCTTTGTAACAAAAATTTTTGTTTTCTGTAAAACTCAATAAAACTAAGATATTAGAAGCAGGTAA